TATTTTATTATTAATGGTTTGACATGTATAAGTTATTTTTGTTTGATCAAGTATATAGTAGATTTTTTTGTACTCTGACAATGGCCTCACTGTACAGTACTACAAAATGAGAAATAATAAAATAATGAATACATTAGGAAAGAAAAAATCACATCAGTAAGTACAGAAAAATATACGAAATGAAATGTTTATTTTCACAATATGTTTAAACTATAGTTCTGAAGTACACTTTTGTTTAATTGTGTCAGATTTTTATTTTGAAATGGACTTAATAGTGGCAATTTTGCTTTTATCTTATGTGACTTTTCATGATAGTGTTGTTGACATTCACTCCCTTCTCCCACAGCCAGTCACGTGCTACCAGTCAAGCATGTGGCGCAGCTTCTCTAGCTACGTAGCATCTCCTTGTTAGGACAACAGTAATGCTAAGTCATTACTTATAATGCAACCTCTAGTTTTAATGTCTGGTGAAAAAAATACCTTGTGGCATCATTCTGTGGGGATTCTGAACTCTGTCAGCTTTTGAAGCTTTTTTTGGGGTAAACTTGGACAGGCACATGCAAAAGCTGTGTCCTTCTAGCCTCAGGTTCAGTGGATTCTTCCCAGGGATGGGGCTTGGAGCCTGGAGAGACCTGGCCGGCCTTCTGTCCCAAACCTCTGGCCCACTGCGAGTGTACATCCATGGGAAAACAGTGGGAACAGGAGGAGGAGCAGGGACTGAGATGGATGGATAGATTGATGGATGGAGCTCAACATATTTTTAGATAAAAAAGAAAAAAGATGTACCTCACTGAATACAGAATATTTTCGGTGTTATTTACATATGAGCTTAATAGTTCTGCACCTTGATCTCATTCAGTTATAAACTTGACAAAAATTTAGAAAGCAGATATGACAGATGATTAGGTGGATGATGAATTGTTTGGAAGTTTAAAATGGTCAGAAAGATCCTCTCTCTCTCTCTCTCAAGGCCATTTCAGGACATTTCCCAGGACCCTCTTCGACAGGGGTCATCACTATGACAACAATCTCCAAGGAACTCTGTAGTAGACGAGTTTTGTGTACAGTATGTGTGTGCATGTGTGTATACATGCACACACGCATGCATTCCTCTCTTTAGACAGTAGCCTCTCAGGACAGGAAGAGAGTCACTTTGATTAAATAATCAAAATGCTTTTGATTGTGTACACGATTACAAGTTAGACAAATACTTGTTCACACATAAATAATCAAACACACACACACACACACACACACACACACACACACACCAGAAGCCCTATAAACAGTAACAGAACGTTTTGTTCTGGCTGACAAACTCAGAGTAGTAGAGTAAGCAGCCAGCACTGTTGGTACTCATAAATCACATACAGGGTCTTTAGTGTTGATGTGGACATAAATAAATAATGTCATGATTGATTAGGAAAGTGTGTATATCTTAGTGCTTTGGTATGGCCAGTTGCTCTAACTTACCTACATCAAAAGGGAAAATAGATAAGATAATTGGATATTTGGTATCCTAGTAGTTTGTACTAAAATGTGAAATTTAATCTGCTTACAACAAACTTTACAACCACAGGCCTTTCTATAATCTCTCTCTCTTTCATCTACTTTTTTTTATCATTCTCTTAATGCTTGCTTTCTGTCATACTGAGTTGTTCTACGTTCCTGTAATGCTGCTGCTCAGACAAATTAATTGACCTGTCTTGTCTGTGTGTCTCAACAGGAGCGTGTGGAGTATCTGTTCCTCATCATTTTCACGGTAGAGGCATTCCTGAAGGTAATAGCCTACGGTCTGCTCTTCCACCCAAATGCCTATCTGAGGAACGGCTGGAATCTGCTGGACTTCATCATCGTAGTCGTAGGGTGAGTGGACAGAAACACAAAAAAAAAGATGAAAATCAGTGAAATGTTTTTTTTAATGGTCCTATGATACACTAAGTGAATCTATGTAGTTAACAACGATAGTGCTGTATAATTGTAATTCACTGTCTTTTTCCAGGGCTTTTAAAAGGGTTACCTGACACATTTTTAAACATCAGCATATCATTGCCAAATTAATCATAGTATCTTGGTATAATTACTGTCAACAAATGAAACTACAGCCAAGACAATTGGCAGCCTCTGTCTAATGCCAGAGGTACTGATAGTGATAGCATCTTTTTGCATGAACACCTTTGATTCCAGTAGCAAAGCTGTTGCACCTCCTCTTATATTTGCTAACATTTTTTCACTATAAGCTTTGTTGAGGAAAATATTGTAAAAAAAAAAAAACCAAAACAACTCAAATTCACCTTATTACTCACGGAAAATTTAACAGATTTGTAAAATCAAATTTGCTGGCACACAATGTAAATTTATTTAAAGAGAGGGTGATAGAGGAATGATCTGGTGTTGTTTGTCAATAAGAATAATACTAATATCTCTGTATATTTGTTTTTTTTATTAAAATACAACTTTAGAAGAACATAAAACAATCTTCTTTCACAGTAAATGCGTATTAAAACTGCAGTAAACTTTGGCCTAGAGTGTATTGGTGAAGCCTAAACTGATTAGCTTGTTAGATGCTGATAGCAAAGCTCTGCTCTGTTTTTCTTTATCTGCAACTCAGCAACATAGCCCATCTGCTAAACCCTCTGTGCCTGTGAGTGTGTATGTGTGTGTGTGTGCGTGCATGTGTGTGTGCCCTGCCTGCCAGCTGTGCTTTGTGTACAGTGTTGTGTCGGAGTAATGGCACAATAGCCAGTGGACCTGACAGTTACATTAATGCCATAAAAATGGTCTAATTGACCATGTGTGTTTGTATATGTGGGTGTGTGTGTGTGTGTGTATACAAGAAACCACCCTTCAGCCTGAAGGAAGGCTCTATGAATGCACCAACACACACAGACGCGCACACACACACACTCAGTGGGAGTCTGTGTTCATCCGGCCAGTCAAGTGTCTCACTCACCATTAGCCATCACCTAAGCTGAAAAATGGTTGGTTCACCCCATAGACAGTACAGCACACACACCACACACACACAACACACACCACACACACACACACAAACCATCGGCCTGCATCAATGGTGCCAGCTGCCCCTTGGCATAAAACACAACTTTACCACCTCCTTATTGCCCTGTTATCTTACCTCTCGGTCTGCCCTCTGGACCCTCTCTCCTTTCTGTCTCTATTTTTGAATTTTGGCTTGGTATTGTAGGGTGGCAAGCATAATTTTAATTTGAGCCTGGAACGACAGTATCTAAACATGGTCCTTTTAAGCCCTTGCAAACCCTGGCCACAGGAAGGTCAGAGAAGGTTAGACTGCAAAGGCTTGCAGGGTTCAGTGTCTTTGTTATGTTTATAAGTGAGTTCGGGTCTAGAACACTGCTCTATTTGAAAAGGTGTCCCTGAGATAACTTCTGTTATGAATTTGGCGCTATACAAATAAATGAATTGAATTGGAATTTGAATTTCCAAGGGGTTGGGTGCTTGCTGTTTTTGTTAGATTAAACTGGATGGCGCTCCTTCTAGACAAGATGCAGACACAATGGCCAGCAATATAAACCATACTTAAGCTCCTTCTGAAGTAACCAAAGCTGTTCTTTTCCCCCTTTGGACACATTTAACAGTGACTTGGTCCCACATAAAAAGCTTTGGCATGTTGACTTTTTGTTAGAATAGGGAGCTGAAATCTGAAAACTCACCCCTCCCTTGCTGTTGTGGTCCAATAATGTCTTTTCCCAAGAATTAAGCCCAGCAGTAGCAGTAAGGAGTTCCCCTTGTGGAGTTACAGTTGTTGAAAGTGGATCACAATCATTCCAAACCTCAGTAAAGGGAAGTTTTACGTGTTTCTGTAAACCGTGACTATTCCTTTGCTAGGGGGCTAGCCCAAGATTACAAAACCTCCTCATACAAGATGTTTCTGGAAAACTGGCAATTTTGTCTTTTTGGAAGGCTCCTGACTTAGACCTAATTTGTCCATTTAAATATAAAAAGGATGTAGTGAAATGACAAAAATAAAATAAAACACCTGTTTGTACACACACCACACTCATTTCAATTTCACACCCACTCAGGACACACAGATCTAGGAAAATGTTCAGCCCTGTGAGCAGCACCTGGTATCTCATGCATGCATGAGTGTGTTGATCTTTGTGCCTGTGTGTGTGTGTGCTGTGTGTGTGTGTGTATAGGATGCAGGAAACGTGGACAGGAGTTCGTTCCTCTTGCGGATTGCTTCACCATAAATGGGTGAAGAGTTTGCTACCTGGTGCTGAGCAAGCCTCAGCCAGACACAGCATACACTCGCACGTACACACATATGGTTGGGAGCTTTTATACTCATGTATAAAAAGTTAATGTGTGTCTGTGTTTTTTTTGTGGGGGTTGTGTTGTGTTGTGTTGTTCTTTGTGCCTGTGTGTGTGTGTGTGTGTGTGTGTGTGTGTGTGTGTGTGTGTGCTCAATATGATAACATACTATATAGACTCACTCTTTTGTATCTGCTTAGCTCTGCTTCTTCACCTCTCTGTCCTCTCTATCATTTCTCTTTACCTTCACATGTATTATTCTCCTCTTCTTCCTTCTTCTCCATTCTTTTTCCACCTTCTGTCCTAGTTTATCGACAGCCAAATAGCTGTAGGTTTGTTACAAAAAAGAGACTAAAGAGAGGGAAACCTACAGACCAAAGTTTGTCATATTGAAGTATTGACAGTTAGCGCTTAAGCATTTAGTTGCTTACCTGATTATTTGATTGGCAAAAAAGAAACTCTGTTACTCTAATTCACATTTCACTGGTTCCAGCCTATGAAATTTTAGAATTTTCTGCATTATTGTGTTTTATATCATTGTAGATTGAATAGCTTTAGGCTTTGCACTTGGTCAGGCAAGAGCCATTTAAATAAATCACCTCTAGCATTGGAACTGGAAGATGTTTTTCAGTGGTATTGTGGTGTTTGGATTACTATGAAACCACACAAACTCTGTTATCTTTATGAATGTACACAGCGTCTACTATCTTTAGCTGTGGATGTACACAAGCAATTATGCGGTGCTACACTCAAAGGCTCTAATTATCATTTAACACCCCACCATGGCAAAACATGCTGGGCGAAATGCTGATGGTGCAGAACTGTGGATCCTTGACATGCTTTTCATACTCTGTTTCAAAGGCGTGCTTCCCACTGAGAGAGAGAGAGAGAGAGAGAGAGAGAGAGAGTGAATCAAATTGAGAGGGAGGTAGTGCGAAATAGAGAGGCAGAGAGAGAGAGTGAGAGGGAGAGAGGGCGATATGTTTTGAGAGGTCTTTTCAAGTGGCCATTTCATCTGTGCTAATTGATAATTCTCCATGACTAACGCGCTGCTGACTGGCCTTTGAGCCACGCTAGCTGGAAAATGGTATTGTATGGTGATTTCTAAAGGATCTCGGAGAGACAGAGAGAAGAGAGGGAGAGTGACAAGCACAGCTGGAGGTACATAAATTCAAGCTTGTGAGCAACTCTCTTCCAGATGTCTGTAATAATTTCATCGGGGATAATACCCAACAAAAGGCAACAGCATAAAACATGTTTAGCCCTTTGATTGAAGAGTTTCTTTCTTTTTTCCATTACTATGTGTTTCTATTCACTTTGTATATGTAATGTACAATGTATGGTCAAAAGTGTGTGGACACCTTAACATTATACCTGTGTGATTGTGTGACATTTCATTCCTAAACCATGGGCATTAATTTGCTGCTACTCTATTATAGCCTCCTCTTTTCTTGGAAGGCTTTCCACAAAAACTTTGAACCTGGCTGCACAGATTTGTTCCCCTTTGTCAAGCACTGATACCTGGATCGCATTTGTCGATTGCATTTTTTTAAAAGTTATTCTACCCCAAACTTGATAATGGTGGTGTAGATGATTCAGTTTAGTATTAAATAATCCTTTTGGACCTCGCTTTGTAAAGGTTATGTTTAAACAGAAAAAAACCCTTCTCCCCAAACTGTTGCTACAAAGTTGTTGTTTTGGTCTCCAACCTTTTTGGCTTGTGACACCTTAAAAGAAAATCTAAACCTGGGTAGCAGTAGTGCCAAAGAGTGAGCTTCATTTTTCAGACTGCTTACTTTGAATATTTATAATAACAATGTATTTCAGAAGGAAAGTCATACAAAAATTGTGTTATTCATCTCACGTTCCTCATGAGTCATCCTGCAAGCCTTTTGGGGAGATTCACTGGTCTCTCTATATATCTACATGATATGATATATACTGTATGAATTCAGCAGAGTTACGGGGAAAGTTGTGTGACATCACATGGCATAAGATGTGTGCTATAATCTGACAGTATGAGCACATAATCACTTATAAACACATTTTTGGAGACACCTCCCTTCACTACAGACATACACAGTGTTCTGTTGAGCTGACTGACAAATCATTAAAGTTGAGTGTCTCACATTTCCTTATCTGTGAAAGACAGAGGGAACAAATGAAACACTTTCTATTGTTGTGTTGGAGAGCTAACTAATTAAGCTGTTTTATTTTTTATGCTGTTGAGTTTTCTCCAAGAAACACATTTGATTGTGAAACTGCGCAGATGTCTTCATCAATCCCTTTGCTTTTAAAATTTTGGTCCCATACTAGATTGATCTCTAAGTTTACCACATTTTTAGTGTTTTATAGATTATGATAAAGGTGGTGAAAATGGTTCAGTTTTGTATTGACAACAGTGGCAACAGAGGAAATGGAAATGAAGGCTATAATGCTAGCAACCACAGATATCCATCACTCTGTATTATATCTCTGTATGTCTGTATCTCTTTTATTGTTTTCCCCTCTCTCAGATATTCTCTAGTATGTGGAAATGGGATGTCAACCTGATGATGACGGTTATTGAAGTCATTACTTTCTGTCTTGCAGATTATTCAGTGCGATCTTGGAGCAGGCCACCAAGGGGGATGGCGCCACTCCTATTGGAGGGAAGGCAGCGGGCTTCGATGTCAAGGCTCTGAGAGCTTTCAGAGTACTCAGACCCCTCAGACTGGTCTCTGGAGTACCCAGTAAGTACTGAGAGGTGTGGAAGAAAGAAAGAAAAAAGGAAAAAAATAGAAAGAAAGAAAGAAAGAGTAGAAATGATACTCTGAGGATCAGGTGTGAATGGTGATTGGGTGAGGTGGGGGAGAAATGGACCACAGATTGGAGCTGATATTACTGCTATATGCCACACATACACACACAGTGGCACCTAAATGCACACACATACACATGCTCACACATAGAGTCCTCTTGTCCTGTTGTCAGATACTCAGACAGTACGAGCAGTAGATGAGTTGTCTGTCAGCCTGTCTCTGTAAGTGACTGCAGAAATCAATAATCCAACTGGCCAAAAGACAGGAAAACATCAGATATCGTGGACGAAGGCTATGCACGTGTGTGCACCTGTGTGTATGTATTTGACAGTTCTTGTAGCAGGCAAATGCACAGACTGCCAGTGCACATCCCACAATCTTGTCATTTGGTTTGAAAGTGTGAGTGCTGCAGTGCACAATATTTAGTCTGAACCCTGTCCAACATTGCTGGACTTTGTATTGAACTTGTATCATGGCCACTGATTAGTAGCATGTTTGCTAGCTGATTAGCACACTTTTTAAAGGCTTCCAGTGCCATTGCTGCTTCTGTGCTGTAAAATGTACAAAAATGTGTAAATGAACTTTGGAATGAACCTGCTTGGTTTGTTAAAATGCGTATAGGTTCTAGATGTCATAACCGTGCCAATACAACTAATAGGAGGAACAAGTACTGTGTTATGTAATTTAATTAACAGATACCAGAACCATTCCAAGTACTCCTCAGTCATTGATGCCACCCACTGTGGTTTTATCATTGAATTTACTTCACCAAATTACATCACCACGGTCTTCACTCAAAATGTCAAACTGATAACAATTCAATTGTGATCATCATTTTAGCTGGAGGATGTACATAGCTTTTTGTTATTTATCGAAGAATTGAGGCCTTTAAAGATCTAATAGTATGCAACATTCATTGTTTATAGGTACTGTAGTTTGGCACAAAGTCAGTGGTTACAGCTACATGCAAAAAAGTAAAATATGAAGCTCAACTGTTGTAAAGTGATCTGATAAAATGTGTATTTATATTCACCAAATCATGTCTCAATACATTTTTTGACAAATGAATCATCAATACTAATAAGCCTCCTTAACAGAATGTATTCCTGTCACCGTTTCTGTGAGTTATTAGCATGCAGTATTCTGAGCCTTTGTCCATCAAAGCATCCAGTAAATTAACTACAAAGTTGTATCGTCTATGAGCGAGTTCTGTTTTAAAACTACCATGTTCTGCATTTACTACTACTACTTACTCAGTAAGTGTATGCAACATGCAAAGAGATTATTAAAGCTTTAGAACAAATACTAATAATAGTCAGTTTGAGTGTTTACATTAACTACAACTATTTGGCTATATTGCCAAAACTGACTGTTTCAATGCTCTTTTTCTATGTATTATCAGCAGTTCCTGTGTGTGTGTCATGCAGGTTTACAGGTAGTGTTGAACTCCATAATCAAAGCCATGGTTCCTCTGCTCCACATCGCCCTGCTGGTCCTCTTCGTTATCATCATCTACGCCATCATCGGCCTGGAGCTCTTCATGGGCAAGATGCACAAGACCTGCGTTTACGAGCATATAGGTACATATACACACACACATATACACACTCACACACATGCATATACAAAGACAGAGAGATAGAGGGAGAAAGGGAGAGAGTATCTAGACTATTGCACACTGATGCACAGATGCATAACAAACATGCATGATCAAACACCGTTTGCATACCGCACTTCAATGCTCAGATACATCTTGAAGCATGTATTCAACTGCCTGTGAACACATGCTTCAATAAGCATATGTTCAAACACACAAACACACACACTTCAACTCTTAAGATGGACACACAGGTGAATAGTACACCGCACAAACCTTTCCAAATATCAAAAAAAGCTATAGCTGTGCTGTCACCTCACTACCCTGATGGTGTGTGCATAAATCGTTGACTGCAGTAAGACATCAGCCAACAATGCTGGCACATACCTTAAACAGTTTAAATAATAACCTCCATTAATTATTTAAACCATCATTTATGTATGAATGATTTGGGCAATAATTGAAACAGCAGCCGCCATGGAAACAATTTCCAGTCAAGGCCCCTAGGTATAAATGGACTTAAGTGTTGTTATGGTGATGTTATAGGTCCCATGAGAGGCATTAGCTTTGCACTGGGTAAGTGCTGGTGGAATACTCGCTGTTATCCTATACGTCACCCTCGAGAGCTTGTTTTGTATAATTAGTACAGCACTTTTTCACATTGATTTTTTTATGGCTCCCCTGTTTGGTTCTAGTTCAGAGTGTCCTTTTTAACCTTATTTTAGTTTGGATGTAGATCAATTTTAAAATTAGAAGTGGGATTTACATTATATTTCTTCTAAGAGTCATTTTCTGCATTGGTAGTGTTGGACCACTTACAAAGATTGCATGGACATGAGACTTGGACATGGAATCATTGGTGCAAAAGATGAGAAACTACATAAGAAGATACTTTTATTTTTAAGTTATAGGCCTGTGTACATAAAAACATGAGAGAGGAAACTACATCTGTCAAGGAACAAATCTCTAAGAAGCATCCCATAACTAAAATTGTTTTGTGTCAGCCTCTAACAGTTAAGGGAAAGCTAAAGATAACGCTTTATACAAACCTGGTAATACATTTATTATATTTGTATCCGTTCACTCTCTAATTCTGGGTCCTTTTTAGACGAATCCAGGAAATATGATGCAGTGTGTTGTTCCCAATTGCGACTACAAAGCATTCTGGATTTGTTATAGCTCTGATTCACACCTCTGACTGGCCTCTTTGTCATAGCAATAGTGGTGGAGGCTTGTAACTTACAAAAAATAAGATTTCTTAGGGACAAAGCTGAAATAATAAAAATAATGGCCATAACATAAACCTGCAGTATCGTTAAATTATCCAGGAGATGCTAGTGTTTCTGTGTGTGATTCTGTGAGTAGAATTGAGGATATTATTAAAAGTAACTTTATGCTGGAGCCAGCGGCTGCTCCCATCAAGAGTCACTTGTGTTTGGGTCAAAAAGATGCAGTATAACAGTATCTCTTTAATCACAGGCACCAAAGCGGAAGAAAAGCCGGCACCGTGTGCACCTACCGGAGCTTACGGTCGACACTGTATGCAAAATGGAACTGAGTGCAAAATGGGATGGGAGGGCCCAAATGACGGAATCACCAACTTTGACAACTTTGCCTTTGCCATGTTGACGGTTTTCCAGTGTATAACCATGGAGGGCTGGACGGACGTGCTGTACTGGGTGAGTCGGACACCACAGCAGTGTTTTTATGTTATGTCTTTGTGTGTGTGTATGCATGCAAGGAGTTCCATACTGGTTGGTGTGTGTAGTCACTGTACTGTATCTGTAACATCAGTGCCACATGAGTGCTTTTGCGAAAAGAATAAAAACCTATAACACAGACACTTCTCTGTGAAAGGCAGGTGTGTACACAAAGACACACACACAGATTGTGCTTGTCTGTGTGTGTGTGTGTGTGTGTGTGTGTGTTAGCTCATATCTCAGGCTAAATCGATGCAGACAATACACTGTGTAATTGAAGGCGCAGATTCATTTGGAACGTGTGTAGAATCCCGATGCTTGATTCAAGTGTCAAGTGAACACACATACGCGCGCACACACACACACACACACACACACACACACACATTCAGCTGCAAAGGCATATGAACACACAAAAACTATTCCTTCCCCAGTAAATGGCCAGTAGCATTCAGCAGCCCCATCTAGCTAAGTAAACCAATGGATTAGTCTGTGCTGTCAATCAATGATAGGGAAGGTTCAATCACACTTACACATGCGCCTTCTTGAGAGAGCAGACTTCCGCATTGGAGGTTTGACTTCACACACAGATTATGATATTGATGATGTCCCGATAATAGATGGAAAGGGCTCATGTGTCAGTTACAGAAAGGTCTTCTATATGCCTGCACACTGCAGTCTGCCTCTCCACTGCAAATCACTCATGTGGTACAGATGCGTGGTAATCCTTTCTTTTCAGCTGAATGTCTGTATTAACTGTGTAACAATACAATGAAATTGTGCTGATTTCCAGCTATCAGGTTGCCCCAGTTTGTATCTTTAATTATTATCATTACATTTACAGAGCTAAGCATTCATTTCTCTGAAATTTAACTCTCCAGCGATGTTTCAGAGAGCCAGATAGCTGTTGAACAACACTTCATGCATTTAAGTATTTATTTTCCAGGATGCTCAAAGACTTTTCTGTTCATCTTAATGAAAGAATAATTTGTCTGCTGCACAATGAGAAGGTTTCTATCCTATTATTGTATGTATCTTGACTATATAAATCCAATCAAAGAAAAAATATCAGCCAAAAGTGTTTGATTTGTGCTTAGTGTTATGTACACAAAATGTGGTGAAATATAGATAAATATACCTGATAACATGTTTTGTTCATATTGTGAAGTGAGCAGTTAGATACTTTCAGAAACCTTTCCTGTTTGAATAAAGAAATATATACGCAATGGACAGATTATCTTTCATTCAGACAGATTGAAAACTCTTTGTAGATTTTGGAAATACCATCAGACCAGTGTTAAGAACTGGTAGATGACATTTAAGGTTTTTGAGAAATATTGAGTGATTTCGCTTTCAGAGGAGCAGATTTTGAGCTCTGTGACTGGAATGTAATGATAATACATGAGAGGCACAAACTGGGACTAGCTGTCAGAATACTAAATTAATGGATGAATCATTAGATTAGTAAATGTCTTAATGACTGTACGTACAAGCAGTGTGTGTGTTTGTACGCGAGTTGTTTGTGTCTGAATGGATATACTGTATACACATGGAGCAGAGAGCTTACTAGCTCTACACCCCTCCTGCTACTACCCTGTCTGCTGAAACCTCTTACACACACACACACA